GTAATATCTTGTCAAAATACATTTCCATATAAAGAGTCTGATTTTATAGCCTGATAAGATAACTTATCAGGCTATAAAATTAATAAGAATCTAGCTGTATCATTTTGAGCTGATTTCTCTTGACATACAACAGAAAAACACTATTGTCTAGTATCTTTTTTTGTGCATGATCAAAATAACTCGATCAGGTGTAGTTTTTACTTTCTTGGCTGTTATATATAACAGAGGGAAAATATGGCAGTCAGTCAAAAAATGGATCCCCCCTAGATTTTTACATTTTTAGACTTCAGACCTTGAAACGTTGAAATGCAAAAAAATTTGGGGATAATTTCTGTATGTATGGATGTTAGTGTGTATGGGGGACACGATTTTGTTTATCCTCTTTGAAGTTTAATAACTCCTGTGCTTCTTGTCAAATTTCTGAAATTTTGCAGGGGTTTGTTTATTGGGATTGATGCTATTAAATCTTGGTGGTTAAAGGTCAAGGGGTGGGGAGATACACATGACCCCCTTTATCTCCAGTAGGGTCAGACTTAACAATGATTTTACTCATTATTAGCATTTACAATTCTTTATAAAACCCATCCCTGCCCTCAAAATTAAGCTTTATACCATTTTATAATAATTAAAAATATAAAAAGTTTTTAAAATAAAATGTCAAGTTTTAAATGTTGCCAGGAAAGTTAAGCAACTCTTTGCTTTATTTTTTTTCTGTTTAATGAGTGGTATGTTTAAATAATGAAATCATCATCACTTCTAATTCTCTGCATTTTTTTTATTTTATTTCCAGTCAAGCATCCAATGATTTTTCCCTTTGAATTTTTGACATGGTTTTTATTTTCTATAAATAATTTACTGCTAATTTCAGAAAGCTAGTTTTTATTAATTAAAAATGTTTTCAGTCACAATTTGACCATCCTCAGTATATAATCTTATACACGGTACAATAAAAAATAAACCAAAATTATTTTGTTAAAAGTAAAGCATTCATGCTGGAAAAACAGAATTTGGCACTTATGTAGAAGCATTAACTAATTAATATTTCACATAAATCAGCAGCAATGCTACTGTATAGCAGTGCAGGGATTGTACTCTATAAAATGACATCCACCAGTAGCAAGCCCATCCAAGGAGGTATAACATTCAGTTATTGAATTTCTGACATTAAGAAATTTAAACACAGTGAAATTCATCATCAATTTGTAGCAGTTTAAGACAATAATGCATTGTTAAAAATGCAAGTCTGAATGGGCCAAGATGTTTCATGCAGGATGACAATCAGTACTGAACAACTGCATAGTGGCAGACTGAAGTTGGCCATTGCTGCACACACACACACACAATCTTTATTTCGTTCCCTGACACCACTAGGCACAGTTGGGTAGAGTACAGAGTGGCCTTTTGGTTTATAAATGGTAAGATTCCAAAATTAAAATAGGAACAGCAATGTATAGTGCCACATCCTTGTGGCAAGCAAACAAATTTCGGATCCTGGGTGTGAATCATGTCGAGTCATGACCCAACAGGTAGAACACATTCAACAGTTTGGTACATTGCATGTGAACAGAAGGAAAGACACAAAACAATCACCAGATGCATATGACAACATTGTGGCACATAAAGCTAGTTACTGGATGCAAGTCCTTTCAAAATATCACTTGATAAGGTACTTTAGCAAGAGGTAGTTGTCTTTGTTCTCAAGAGACTCAGATTGCAGGGCCAATCCACATTCTTTGCTTGCAACTTTTACAAGTTTCCTTATGTCATGAAGCATCGGGCAGGCATAGATGTAGGGATGAATCCTGTCCTCTTCTCCACAATAACTGCACAGCATTGAACTTGACTTAAGGAATCAAGAGATGCGTGTTGAACTGCCTATGTCCTGTAAGAAACTGAGTTAGCTGATAGTTTAGACAAAACCACTGACTGTGGAGATGCCGCTTGATGCTTTGAAAGAAGCTCCTAGAGATGTGATCCAGGGAATAGATTCCCACTCATGCTGCCAAATCTCAATCATTTCCTTACAAAGGAGAAGATTAAGTCTCAAGGCTGGAAGAATATAGTAGCCAGAGATGATGTCATGACACACGGTGGCAACCCATGCTAGCTGATCAGCTCTCTCATTCCCCAGAGTAACACAGTGCCTTCTGGTCCACCCAATAGAAAAAATTGGATCTAATTGAGATGATGTTGAAAATGTCCCTGCATAGTTGTTTAAGACTGTCCTTGTCTTTCAGGGCATGCACAGCTGCAGAGGTGTTGGTGGTGGTGATAATTGTCTTTCCAACAAGATTCTCCTCTCACAAAAGAATGGCAAGGACCTCAGCCTGAACGACTGAGAACTCTGGGTGAAGAACACCTGTCAAAGAAAAATTCTTTTCCACCTGAGAATGTAGAAAAGGCATGCACATCCAGTGCCATTACCAGTCCTTGAACCAAGAATCCATTGATGAAAACTTTGTCTACTAAATAATCCTGTCTTGCATATAGCCCCTCCTGTACACTGGGTGTGGAAGTTTGTCTATTTTTCTGTTAACCTCATTTGTTGCCAAAGGCCATCACAAATATTAATATTAATGCTGCAAATTTCTTAATCCAGAGTAACTGGCCTATCACTGTCAATGAAGTTGCCAACTGTTTTCAGATTAGACATAGCTCAATATACAGTAGAGCATCAATTATCCGAATCGACTGGGGTTGTTTGGAAAATCGATTTTTCAGATAACCGATTATGTATGAAAAAATATATTAACTTATCCCATGTTGAAATTTGTTCAAATCCTGGCATGTCCTTAAGAACCCTCTCATAGTCATGCCAGTGCTGCCAGCTAAAACACACATACCAATAAAAATAATATTGGAGTAGCCAAAGACATAGCCAAAGATTGCAGCGCCACAGCACTAGCAAAAATTTAAATTTGCTGGCTGGAAAGCTTTCGGTTAATTGACGTTTTGGTTGATCAACATCCCGATAATCTATACTCTACTGTATTCAATAATGCATGATGTTCTTAACTATAGAAATCAGATGATGACATGAGATAGAATCATGGAATAGGTTTGCAAGCAGCCAAGTCAATTTTATTAGAAGGAAATAAAAAATTTTGTGAAGTGGTGGGATACTTGCCTTAACTGTGGAGTGGAATTATTTTGAAAAATATTAAATGATATGCTTGAAAAAATAATTAAAATATCTTTTGACCTGAACCAAATATTTAACAGTTTATAATAATATGGCATAAATTCTGGGAATAATTATTTTTTTTTTTTTGTTGATTTTTTTTGGCCTTGATTAGGAAAAAAACCTTGTTTTTTTTGATTGATTTGATCTGTGCCAGACATTTCATTTATTATAATTTCTAATTATTACTATTTTTTTTCTGATTTAATCAAGTTTTTTTTCATACTTGAACTATTCAAAAAATTTTCTGTTTCAAATGCCAAATTACAAATAACACTCAAAGGTTTCTTGACAATAGTAAGCTTTTGTTATGAGTTTGGCTGAAGAATGTGTTTTATAAATTGAATATTGCATAAAATAGCATGCTTTCAGATACTGTTCTCAGTTAGCCATTTCACCAATGACACTGTGACAGTTGATATTTTAACTTTCCAATTGCTGAAAGAGCCAAGAGCCTCTTGTGCTATTAAACTACACAGTTTAACCAATGTACCAATTTTAATTTATCGTACAAAGTTACTGGTTTGTTTATATAATTACACTAGTATTGTTTAGTATGTGAAAGATGTAATTTAATTTAGTCAATATATACAAATGATCAACAATAGAAGTTTGTGTTTTATCTATTTATATATTTCCTTTCCTACTGATCTGTCATAATATTTGTAGTTTATTTCGTTGTTAGATCATCAATATGCATAAATATGATATACAAAATACATATAATTATGTTGTTATAGTGATTTTAATTTCCATTTGCAATTGACCAGTTTCTGAAATTTTTTTTTCTAATTCCAATTAAATTGTTACTTTTTTGCTGTTAATGGCACTTGGAATTTATTACATCATTTCTTCCAAAGCTCATTTTTATTACTTTTTGAAAATATTAAGCTTTCTGCACACTACATTCAGATTGGAATGGTTAAAAGTTTTTAATAACAAGTGTTTAAATGGAACTCCATGCACTAATTTGAATTGTATTGAAATTGATTTTCCAGAAGAGGAATATTTTAACTGATTCTAAAATGATTCACAGATGCACTGACATCTTTTTATTGCATCATTCATTGCAAATATGTGCTTGTTTGTTTGCTGGAAATTTTTTTTTTTTTTGCAATTGATTGATTTGTTTTTATTTGAAATAATTGATGAGAAGTTAATTTTAGTTCAGTAGTACCCAATTAATTATTAATGGCATTTGTCTCAATTATGATGCTGTCAGGAAAGTGAATGCATGGGAGGAAATCTGTAAAACTCAAAATGGAAATAGTAAGTTTTAACACTTCTGACCCAAATGTGCAGGCAAAATTTGTTTTTATGTTCTTTGAAACCTAGCATAAAAATACTATTGAGAGCTTATCACACACATGAACAGAAGTGTTCCTGTGATAAGTTCTCAATAGCATTTTTATGCTAGGTTCCAAGGAACATACAACCAATTGAGAGAACAACAAGTAATCAAGCACTAAAAAATTTGTTTTCATTCATAAAACTGGTTCTGATTTTGATCATTCCTATTTGACATAGCATACTGCAAGCTTTAAAGTCTATTGAAGAATCTATAGAATAAACAAATTTAAACAATAGATGATTTGTGTGTATTCCAGCATAGGAAGCTCGTATGTTTAGCATCTGAAAAAAATTAATTAAAAAACATTTTCTAATTTTTAGTTAATTAATACGGAGAAATTCAGTTATATTTATGAATATGCAAACATCTAAAATGATTTCTTAATTTTTATTATCTAATAAATTATTTATTATTTTTTTATGTAATAAATGTTAAGCTGTATTTCAATTTTCCTTATTACTTTTTCAGGTGAAGCATTTCAATCGAAAAAGGGAATATTTACAGTTCAAGGATAAAATGATAAATGAAAGCTATGAACCCATTGATGATGCAGCAAAATCCTAGTATTAATTTATTTTTACTTAAGATTTGTCTTTATAAACATTGTATAAAGTAGACATTTTAATTAAAGAAATTATGAATGTTTACTGCGAAATGATGTCAATGTCTAGTGTTGAAGTTTAATTACAATTTGAAAATGCTGTTTAAAAATCACATTGACTTTATAAAAAATTGAAAAAAAGAAATAAAATTTTTATTTTTAAAAAATAATAATTTTTGATTGTATCAATCTGATTGAAATGCTTTTAAATTAATATATTCAGCTAAAAAAATTTTTTATTCAATAAGATTGAAATGATTACATGCACTTACATGGCAGTAACAGAGAAACAAATGCATAATCATGGCATAATTTACAGCAATTAAAAGTGCAAGGTAATGAGTATCAGTCAAAAAAAAAAGTTATGAAAGTTATTTGCATTGTGAAAGTAGGATTTTGTAGTGTGTATTTAGATTTTTTTTCCATTCACCTGTAAGAACAAATGTCTAGTTAATATGTTTATCATGTTAAACAATGTTTTCATTCTGATCAAGGGATTTCATAGTTATTGCAAATTGTATAAAATTTTTTGAACTTTCTCAAATGAAAAAAGTTACGAAAATCTGTTTTTTATTTTGATTGATACTTGTTACCTCATGCACTTTTAACTGATATCAATTATGCTGTGATTTATGCATTTGTTTCTTCATTACTTGTCATAGTAGTTCATAATTTAGAATGAATAGCTAATCATTTAATCTCAAGATTTTTTTTTTGGTTTTTCGGTATTTTTAATAATAATGTCTAATTATTAAAAATTTTTGTTAATTACAGAAATTATTACAAGCATTTCATAAAAACTTTTTAATGTTTCTGAATATGTGGATATATACATTTTCCCTCCTGTGACATGTGGGTACTAAGAGGACAGTGTTAGCTTCAAGGTCCAAATGTACTGTACTTACACAACTCCTGCACCCAAGTCTGTAATGTTCTTGTTTCTATCAAATAATCCTTAGTCGAGAACAAATACATTTTTAAATGTACAATTGTTGTCAATAGACATTTCAAGTTGTTCTGTCAATCAGATCAATCAAGGATGCCCAAGCATAAATAAATGATATATACAAGGGCAGGCTGAAAAGTAATGCACGCATGCTTGTAGAACATGAACAAAAACAAATAGCAAGATCGGGCAAAAAGTCCATTAAAGTACAATTCTTAAGCTTCAAAATCATTTATTTATTTTTCAACATAGTCACCGTTAAGGCTAACACATTTCTCCCAACGTGTAACAAGTTTTTTCATTCCGTCAATGAAAAATTCTTCCGACTTTTCTCGAATCCAGGACTTGACAGCTCATCGTCTGAGGTGTAATGATTACCCTTGAGGTCTCTCTTAAGTAGAGGAAACAAATAAAAATCACAAGGTGCAAGATTGGGGGGAATAAGGAGGGTGTGGAATCGGTTCAAGCTTCAGGTTTCACAGAGCCTCTCCAGTTGTGTGCGAGGTATGTGGACGAGCATTGTCATGTTGCAAGATTATTGGTGCCAGGCTGCCTGTAACATGACAAACTCAACGTCAGAGGTGTTTTAGAGTCTGTATGTACTGAGAAGAATTAAAAATTGCAACAAGGTGCAACGGTAATTGCTGTGGCAGTGATCGGACTTCCGCTGCGTGTTTCATCAACAATTATGGCTTTTCCAGGCTCGCAACCACGAAATTTTATTATCCATCAATTCACAATAGACCTATCAGCAGCATCGTCACCATAACAGTCAGGACCTTATACAAAAAATAAAGCAATTTAAACTCGATAACTATCTCACAGGGATGGGCGCCGACCATCACCCAGCTGACACTGGCAAGCTAAACATCAACTACAGTAACAGAGGAACTGATAAGGGAGACTGGAACATCTTTACTGACGGCTCAAAAAGTAGCATCGGCACCGGAGCAGCATTCATTATTTATAACAGCAACTTAACGTACATCAAGCATCAAGAATACTTTAGACTCCATCCATACTGCTCGATCAACCAAGCGGAGCTCTGGGCTATGCTCAGAGCTCTCGTGCATGTCACTGCAAACCAGAAAAAATACAACGGAAGTATAAGTATTAACACAGATAGTAAATACGTTCTAAATATACTCAATTATAAAGGCAAAATCACTTTCAATGGAGCCAGAATGAACCATCTTGCCCAGAACCTTAACAAACGTAGGAACATCACCTTTTACTGGGTCCCTGGCCACACTGGAATCAGGGGCAACGAGGAAGCAGATAAGCTGGCAAAAAGGGCAGCCACCCTCAACACTAACTATGCTTTCAGTAGAATACCTCCTACCTATGTTAATAAATACATCAGTGAGAGGATACTTGATAACTGGCAGGAGGAGTGGGAATCCTCCAACACGGGAAGAACTACTTACAAGTTTCTCCCTTCCATCCACAAACGTCAACAATATAATTACATCATCCCACCTACGAGCTTACACAGACCTTCACAGGGCATGGCAACATACCAAGCTATCTCCACAGATTCAAGAAGCGTAACAACAACAACTGCGAGTGCGACAATGACTCAATTGGTGACTTATTCCACATTCTGTGGGACTGCCCCACCCATGATAGAGTATGGCAGCCTCTGTACCAACACTGTGCTCTGCATGGTCAAAACTGGCCACCTAGACCAGACTTTGTGTGTGAATCTAAAGAAACGTTTAAGATGTTCCACAACTTCATATGGAAATGTAAGGTTTTCAACACTCGGCAAAGCAACACGACAACATAATGGGCGTTCTTCCAGCCCTAAGTGCAAGACCCCAACAGGACTTACCAACCATCATTAAGCCAAAATGGCACTCGGTGTTAATGAATGTTTAACCATTGTTTACTTGATCATCGGCCAGAATGGCACTCTGTTGTATATATTTTGTATTTTTGTATTCTAATTGTTAAAATAAGGCAATTCAAGTCATCAGCGGTATCCTAACTCCTCTTATCCTTCCTACCACTACCATCCTCACTTCCATTCCCACTCTTCATATCCTCCCCAACCCTCGCCTTCCTTTTCCACCCCTCCTTTTGGGCTAAGTCTAAGGACAGCCATCTATCTGTTATAAAAATAAAATAAAAAAGCATTGTCACCATAAACAGCCTTTAAATGTAATTTTTTCAGCAGTTAAAAATTTGATAACAGCATGCTGTTTAACTGGCGTTGAAATAGCACCAGAACATGTCTCCATATTTCCGTTTCTCAAAATATACTGAATGAATGCAACAACCTCAAACTGTGCATGCACATAGAGGGGGAATGGTACTTCCATATGCCACCTGGCACACTTCTGAAAATCATTTCATTTGTGCTCTACAAGCATGTGTGCATTACTTTTCAGCCTACCCTCGTATATACACACAAGGATTGCACTGCATAGCTCCAAAATTGCCACTTGGAAATATTTTTATGACAGTGGTAATAAAATCCCTAATCAGCTTTTGACATTCAGGGTGAAATTGAAGCATAAAGCCACTTTTGCTAAAGCAAAAAAGTTTTGACCTGACAACCTGCAAAATACTGTTTAAGCATTATGATCAAATGTATTATTTGGAATTATTCATTAAAAAATTATTCCTATTTCTAAGTGACAGCTTAATATGTTACTTTCCAGACTCCAAACTGATAAGGCTACCAGCATTTGATTAATTATTAATTAAAACTGGTGGCAATAAATAATTCGAACTGGTGAAATGGTTGGCGATCTTTCTAAAACAACCCAATTTTATATATATATACACCTATGCATAAATAGTCTATAAATAATGCTACTAGCAGATAAATTGTGGTTATGCCACTTTTAAGGAAATGATCCAAATCTCATGAATTGTCAAGATTAAAAACAGTGCAATACATAATAATTGGTTCATTTTCTTTGTTTTTGTCATCATAAGATTGAAAATTTAATAAGACACCTAAAAATGATGGTCCGGTAGACATATATTAATTAAAAATAATGTTATTTCTGAATTTAATACTTTTATCTAAACAAAAACAAAATTTTTTAAAACAAATTTAACTTTATTACCTCAAATTATTTTAGAAAATTTATTCCCATCTCCTGCCTGAAAATTTTGTTTTATTGCCATTACCATACTTTTTAACATTATAACCCTGGAAAGTAAAATGGCATGTACTACGTAACATGGGGAAATATTGGAATAATGTCAAATTTGACCTTCTGGTATTTTGCAAATCTCAATATTTTGAGATCTCTGAACTAAAAGTTTCTAGCAGTGATTTGCATAACTTCCCTGGAAGCTGAGATTTTATTAAAAAATAATTTACTATGTTTATTGAAAGGAAATAATGATTCAAATTTGAAACATATTAAATGAAGTTTGAATCATTAAATTTATCAAAAAGATATAAATGAATATGTTAATCTATTAATTTAACTGACTTTCAATTAGTTTGGCTTTAATGATTAATCGTTGTAACTATTTAAATGTTATATATACTTTCATTTTAGACTTTTTCATAAATAAAACGTCTTGTTAGATATTAAATTATTAAAATTCGATAATTAACATACAATTGTTTTTTAACGATATCTAAAAATAAATTCTATTTACCATTACTCACTGTCTTATCATATATTTGCATATCACTTATACAGCTGTTTTATATGCAACATTTTGGATTTTCAGAAGAAAATATTAATTAAGTTAGGAAATTTATATGACAAAACTAAATCTAAAATAGAAAAAAAATTAATTAATTAAAATTTTAAAAAAAATGCGTGACACTTTAAAGAATATTTAATTCACTAATGTGAAAAAAAGTGTTTTATCAACCTTTCAGGAAGTGTCCTTTTGATTTTTGGAGTTCCCTCTCAGAATTAATTAAACAATTGAAGATAGACTAATTAAAAANATATATATTTTATTTTGCCATTTCCTAATAATTAATTTTGAGGGTAGTGATGAGTTTTATAAAAAAAAAACTCATCACTACACTCTACAAAAACTAATAAGGAGCAAAATCTTCATTAAGTCAGACAACACTTGAGTTATGACACATGACCACACTATCTCTCTAGCCTTCTGACCAAATGGTCAAGGTGGCAGCCTCCGCTCTGGGGGACCTGGGATCAAATCCGGACGGTTCAAAAAATCCCCAGGAACTTTTTGGTGGGTGGTCTGTCCAGATAGATTGGGCCATCCCTCACCACCTGACCAACCCATTGTGGGCCTGGCCAAACCCATAATGGATTTGCTGAAAGAGACCATCTTAGTGCTCACGGGGCGGAAAGAGTTAAAACAGAAAAAAAAGGCCCATGTATAAGGTAACACCCAAAAACGTGTAAAAGAAAGCCATATTGACCAGATTAGATTTGTTGTTGGTCTATTGTTCTCTTATAGCATGGAGACATTTCGATCTGAACAAACCAGTTAAGCAGCAGCTGTATTTTGAACTAAGTGAATTCCTTAACATGTAAATCTCTATGTCCCCAGCCAGGACAAAAGTGCAGTTATGAACTAATGGGATTTCAAATTATCTGAGTTCAAATTAAACAATTGAAAGTTTTGAATATCTTTCTGGTTTGCTTCAGATATTCGTAATGAAATATTAAATAATGTCAAAGACACATATATTGTTATTAGACACACATACAGTGTTTGTGATATCAAATTCTTTAAAAATGCTAACAAAAAGGAAAAGCTTCCTGTCCACTGACAAGCATATAAAATGCTGCTAGTCAGCACGCAATGATGGTTCAACTGTACAGACACCATGTTTCGTCGTCATTGTAGCATTTGTTGTAAAGTTACTACTAGGATGCATGCAGCTTCTGTTTCAGCACTGTTGTTGCACTGCTGAATTTTGCAACAAGCAATATGTCAAAATTTTGAGCAGCTTACTGGGCAGAGCTAAGAATGTTTGAGCATTATTAAATGATTATTCATTGTTAGACAACTAGGAAAACTGGCAGATGAAGTTAAACTTAGTAAAATTAAAACATTAATTTCTTTATATTTATTTATCTTTAAAAATGAAGTTAATCTAGCATGAGCAACCATTACAGTTGTACGCATAAAATTCTTCAAAGCAAAAACAAAGATACAGAGTGCTGTCACTAAGCAGTCTACTAAAAGTAGTGAGAGTAAATGAGCAAGAATTCTTAAATTGAACAGAATCAGAATTACAAAGAATATCCAATATCGTGGCACAGTAATGCAGAATTCTGACTTACTGAACATGGCCCAGTTATGCTTCTGAAACTGGAACTATTGGAACCCATCAGGGTACTTAGCTGTTCTGACAGAACTGTTAAGCCAGACGGTTCCATCAGAATGCTTACAAGGAGAGGGCCAAACATTTGGGTTTCCGATTTGAACAAAACTTGGTGAGCATATAGCTCTAAACACAAACAGCTTCTTGTCCAAATGCTTGATCTACTTCTCAAACATTTCCAAAAAAAAGGCCTCTGAAAATTTGAGTGTTTAGTTTATAAGATTTCTGTATCATTAGCATTATTATTACTATTATTCCTTATGTCTGAAGCTTATAGAATAAGAGAAAAAAATCTTTCATATTTTATAATTCAAAATCCTTGCCTTTAAATTTTTTAATCTTATTATAATAGAAGTTTAAAATTAAAATTTTATATATATACACACACACACACCAAGTAAGGTATGTCAGTATGAAGCAACTAATAATTATAAAAGAAAATCAAAATATGATCTCATAATTGTTAATATATTTTTAAACATAAAAATATTTAGCTAAATTTCAAAGCACAATGATAGACATTTAAATATAGAGTATAACTGTCATCTAGACTTTTGAGAAATTGTACATTTTTACTACATTTTATTATCAATATTGTTTTCTAGTTGATATCTAGCTAAATATTGATATTAACTACTATAGATTCATCAAAACATTACACATGGAAAAAATTGATTTAAAAAAAAATCAGATATATATCAATAATGTATAAAGTTATTTTGCATTATGTTTCTTTGTCTTAAGATTTTTACTTTTCTAATACTTTTCAGTTGAGAAAATAAGAGAAAACAATTTTTTATTATGTCAATGATGCCATCATACATTTATTGTATATCAAATTTTATAAGATTATATTTAGAACTGTCCCTAAAAGCATGTGCATATTTAATTCTAAAGAAACCTTTCATAGTTTATGCATTAAATTTACTCCACAGAAATTTTACAAAGTAATTATATGTGCGCTGCCTTATACATGTTATGATTTGCTTAATTATAAATTAAATAAATATATGAAAATAAGTGCATGAAACAAATAATCATCAAAATCAAAAAATAAGTAAAAACTTTAAAAACATGATTTATCCAAAAATTCTTTATTATTCAATATTTTACTGAGGTACATGAGAAGCAAATTGACTAGTTCTGCTATATAAAAATTATAATAAATGATTCATTTTAATTATTGATTTATTATATTTTTACCTATACTGTACATATTTTTAAAATCAAAAATCTTTTCAATGGCGGCTTTTATACAAGAAAACAGAATGCTACAAATCACACAAAATTAAATTTCTGACCTTAGTTATTTCTATAGGAGCTATTTTAAAATATTTATGCACCAACAATGTCCTGTACATACTTCTAATCAATTAAAAAAATGCTTTGTATAATGAAATGTATGATTTTCTTAAAAAAGTAGCTATAACTTTGTCAAGTTTTTTTTAACATTATATATTTAACATCTTACAATTTTTTAAAATAAACTGAATAATATATAGATTTAATTCCTGAGTTGATTATAAATACTTTCAAGTAGATTATCACATTTTGGATTTCATTGAATCCTTTTTTTTTGCATAAACAAAACTATAATTTCTATTCTATTTAATGCTTAATCTTTATCATGTTTCTTTGATAAAGAAAGATTAAATATAATCAATGATTAAAAGATTTATATTTATATCAAAAATTTATGTGTTTTGATTCTTTTATTTCTAACCATATAATATTATATTTTATTCTATTTGACTGTCATATTACACAGTATTTTTAATATAAGTTATAAACTATCAGAACTAAAAATGCAAAAAGGTACCCAGTACAAATATACATCATATCAAAATAAATTTTCAGAAAAAAATTAATATTTAAAAATTTTAAGATAATATGAAATGAAAACAGTATGTAGAAATATTTCAAAAATAATTAATTCCTTGCTAAATTATGTAAGTACTATTTTTAATAGAAATATTAATTAAATTTGAAGAATACTTTAAAAAAAAAAAAAATGTATGGCTTTTAGGATCTTGACATTTTAATGCATGATAATACAATATCTCCATTGAAATCAAGACTGAAAATACGGGAAAGAGGCATAATACGATGTCTGTATTCAGTAAAATGTGCTCCATTAATTGCAACCATGAATTTGTCAGTCTCAATTCTGATAACCATATCAAAATGAGTACCCGGAGCAAAAGGAAATCGACCGTGTCTTTCTTCTGCACCCCATCTACTATTGATGTAACTATTGCGAACAACTACATTTTGATTGAAACGAGCATTAAAATGAAAAGCTACATCTGCAGGTGGCTGATCACCAATACGACATCGAAAGTCAAGTGTAAAGCTGTAAAAAATCAAATGTTAATTTCTTGATAAACTAAAATGAGTTTTATCTGAAGTTACCAGTAATTTTTTAATTTGCATATATTACCTGTTAGGAAAGGCAGTAACACGTCCACTAATATAAAGCATTGTTGATGGCAGTAGTGGCTCAGCAAAAGTGTAATTAAATGGCATTCTCTATTTAAAAAATTACATATAATTATATATATAATTTATATAGATTTGAAATAATTCAATTTAGCTCAATTAATAAACTGGTAAAATTTTTTATTTAGTTTATTCTTTTAAATTTTATAAATTTAGCAAAAATAAAAGCAACACTATAAATTGTATCTTAAATTTCAAATCTGAAACAAAAAAATTATGATAAACTGTTGGTTACTTACAATTTAATTTTTTTTAAGTATTTCTACTTTATTTAAATTATTTACCATAAACTTATGTATACAAAACAAGAAGTTATTACATGCTTAGTCAAAGGTAGAAAAATTCTGTCAAACAATATTCACAAATACAGACATAGATTTTGTGTATGTATTATGCTTATTATTAAAAAATGAGTTTTTAAATTTTATTTTTGAATAAATATCAGATATTAATATCAAAATAATCTATTAGTTAAAGATCTATTATCCTTTATACGGTAGAAAGCAAACACTGCTCAAAAGGGGCCAAAACATTCTCCAAGTCTTTCATATGTATTCATTCATTTCATTCATTCATTCATTCATTTTTATTTACAATGTACTGTCAAGTACATTCCTGGCCCCGCACGGAGCATTACCAGGAGATAAACAATACAAATACGTTACAATATATATTCATATAGAAAATTAAGTAACATTAAGTTGTAGTAATGGTAAATAAAACAAAAAAAAAAATAAAACAAACAAAAACAAAAAAATGAAATAAAATAAAAATAAATAGATAAGATTGTTGAGGGACATTGTATTGGTTCACACATAATCAGACCATGATGATCAGAACCCTTGTTGTATATCACATACAGTAGTATTGCTTTCAGGATGCAAACTTTTGAGAGTAGTGCAAACTCTGTAGATATTATTCGATGAGGCACAATACTTACCTATAGCACGTAGCCTTATTCTTGAGCGCAATTTCACGGTAGTTCCATTAGTACAGTACATCCAAGGCACTGCGATTAGGACAATGAACGCGACGGGTGATTGACGCATAGGAAAGCAGAGCACTTCCATCAGGACAACACTGCCGAGAGATGGTTCACAGACACCAGTTAATAATGATCAAAATATGACTGGATGAAGATTGGCACTAGTGATTGCTCCTCATTTCCAAATCACACTCCCTGTGAGTTGGAAATGTTATTCTCTAAAGATATAAAGTATATAGTTGGCTAATGCACAAGGTGAATCAATTTGAAGAACACAAATTTTCACAGAAAATGTGGTACATGTCCAGAAGCACGATCATTCAATTGAAATATTATCGTTCAGACACATCATAGATAAGTTAATGAGATTGCGCATGTAGTTTTAGCGTTATATTATTTGATGTGTTATTTTAGAGATACTTTTAGCAAGTCTGGTGAAGGCATTATAAACTTCAAGAGATGTCCATATGTCTGATAATTGGCAGGGCCAGTTAATTCCTTTCATATGTAGTGGGATGGAGAAAAAATGCTGAGGTAGCAAACCTTTTTGAAATCAAAAGCACACACAGTCTAGTATATGATGTAATAGGCATTTGCTGATCACATTCCCATACAAAAATTATTTTACATTGTATTGATTTTTCTTTTGTAACAATTTTTAATTGTATATTTGATTTTTTCATGGAACAATCCTAAGATATAGTCAAGATGACTCAAGCAGCTAAAGGAGTGACAAAAATTACATCTGAGAAACAAAGATGTGCCATCCATGAAAAAAAAATGGAGAGATTTCATTTCCCTTTTTTTTATCCAAACTAAAAGCAAAGAGACGTAACTAGTATGATTATCATTCAAGAGAAGGCTAGAGAAATTTTTGAAGATCTGAATAAGCAAATTCCACAGTCGTCAGATGAGGAGATAGAATTCTAAGGCTACCACTAGATAGTTTGCAAAGTTTAGAAGGAAATTCATTAAATAAGTGGTAATGCATGATAAGTCTGCTAGTGCAGATAAAGAAGCAGCTGAGAAGTTCTGTCTCAAATTTCAAGAATTCATTAAAATAAAAATTTGTCGTAGACAATATTTTTCTAATTGTAATGAAACTGGTTTATTTTGTAAGTGCATGCTGAACCATACCTACATCAGAAAGATGAGAAAAAAGTTCTGGGCATAAACCCACAAAAGATCATTGATGTTACTTTTGGGAGCTAATGCTAGTGGTGATATGAAGCTTAACCCACTTCTAGTCTATTATTTTGAGAACTCTAGAGCATTCAAAACAAATTCCATAATTAAAGAAAGATTGCCAGTGATGTGGAGATCAAACAAAAGGGCATGGGTCATGCAGGTTCTTTTTTAAAGAATGGCTGTTTAAAGTTTGTGTCCCAAACATCAAGGATTACCTTCAGACCGATGAATTGCCATTGAAAGCACTGTTGCTATTGGACAGGACACCCAAAAGACCTTGAAGATAATTTGCTAGAAGGCTTTCCCTGGTTGACCATTCAGTTTCTGCCTCCAAATACCACTTGGTTGATTCAGCCAATGGATCAAGAGATTATTGCAGGTTTCAAGAAATTATACATCTGCACACTGTTTTATTGGTATTTTGAAGTATGTCAGTTCTTCTCAACAAAGACATTAAAAATGTTTTAGAAAGAAAAATTTGATATTCTTGAAGCTATTTGGCTCGTTCAAAAGGCATGGTCAGAAGTCATTCAATAACAGTTGAATTCTGCTTGGCAGCAAAAGCTGTGTCCATCCTGCATTCAGTTAGACAGAGATGATGTCCCTGAATTTATTAATGAAATTGTGACAACTACTAGATATCTGGAATTGAAGGTGAATAATGACATTGAAGAGAACTAATAATAGAACATGAAAATTATCTGATGACAGAATTCCAAGAACTCTTGAAAGAAGAACACCAAGAAACTCAGCAAGATGTGTTTTCTTCTAAAAAGGAAGACAACGAAAGAGGACCAATGCTGACATCTGCTATTAAAGATCTTTTGAAGAAGTAGGAGGAAGTCAGAACAATGGTCTTAGAATAGCACCCAAATTAGGTTGAAGTCAATACATTTGGGGATCTCTATGACAATAATGCTATTAATCACTTCCAAAAATCTTGAAGAAGAGAGAAAAGCAATCAATGTTGGACAGATTCTTTAATGCCCCACAAATGAAATAGTGATAAACTGACTGATGAAAATGCAATGTATTATTGTTATTTCATTTAAATAAATGTAGTAAGGAATTATATAATTTTTTGTTTATTTTTTTGGGATCTCTGGAATGAATTAATCAAATTCCAATAAAAATCTATTGTAAATCAATAATCAGTTAACAAACAATTCAGGTAGCAAACATCATCTTGAACGAATTATGTTCATTAACCAATCACCCTCTGTATAATAATGTCAGCATTAATGACAAACTTTAAGATAAGTAGATTTGCAAATAATAATCACACTTATTGCAGATAATGAAATGACCTATAGCATTCTCTGAAAAAGACAGATAATGTGTTGAAGAAAAATGCCAAATGAACATTAACAAAAACAAAATTAAAATCACAAAATGAAAAACTAACAGGTAATTTTTAGTTTCCTCAGCAGCCTTATTTCATCAAACAATAAATGTCAAAAGAATATTACAGCAAGAATTATACAAAGCTAAATCGGCTTTCAATAAGAAAACTAAAATAAACTTACAGTTAGTCAAAAGCTAATTGTAAGTTTATTTTAGTTTTCTTGAGTTAGTCATTTGGTATGTGGCAACCTCTTTATCTTGAGAAGGTCTCAGAAGGCTTGAGATGAAGTGTTGGTGATGAATGATAAAAATACTATGGACAGACAAAATATGAGGATGTTCTTAAATTAATTAGTAAAACATATTGAATATGATTCAACATCCTGACTAGATTACTACTAATGGAAGGAAATACTGGAAGTGGAAAGTCAAGAACTGAGTTTATATACAGTAGAAGGGCATCTATTTCACTAAGACCTTGACCCTGGAAAAGAGAATGGTTGATGAACTAGCTGCCTGCCAACTTTCAGGTAGAAAAAGAAATGAAGAATTCTGAAACAGCAAAAGTTGTGCAAGATCAAGGATCCGACTTTAATTTAAGGAGAATTTAATTTCTCCATTGCAATCGTTAAGAAAACATCACACAAAAAAGGATTGAATGTCACCCTTCTCATCAACAAATGCAAAGAAATTATAACAATCTATCATTAAGAGGGGAATGTCAACCTTCAAATAAGTAAACAAGATGAATCTAACATTTCACAAACCAAATATTACACTATCTGCCCCATTTAGAAGACATCTTATAGTCACCATCAGCCCACCACCTATGACCTAACAGCTGCAACTTCATCTCCAAAAACATCCGATCACCTGATCATTTTCCCAAGACTAAAGAGGATATAACGATGAAGCACCTAAACTTCGGGGCAATCATCCATTGAGAACAACCTCTCCCAGACCCATCCTGTCATAATCGAGGCAGACATTCGCCAAGAAGCAATAGGACTGCTTCTGTCGGGACAACTCTCATCTTTCCTATGCAATCCGATAACGGCCCAACAATACCTCAACTAGATCGTCTTACCAACATTGAATAAACAGGGTCATGAGGTATCATCACTCTCTCCGAGGTATTTTACCTAGAATTGCAAACTCTCTCTTTTGGTTAACTTAGAATATAAGTTAGATTTAGTTCTTAAGGAAATAACTACTTACTATAATTGTCCATCTCAAGTCTATGATACATGGAACTAACGTTAAGGTTATGTGACTTCATTATGTTCGTCCTCTGTAATCTTTATTATAGTTTATTGTAAATTTGTTGAGTTAAAGCTGGTCTCTTTATTTCGGGAACAGCCAATACCTCATCAACTTACCCATGATCCTCCCCACTCAACTAATAGCCCTCCTTTTTTTGAACTTTGTGAACTGAATAGATCAGAATAATCACGAGTTAGGATAGAGTTAAACATGTCCTAACTGGTGTCAGATCCTGACAGGAACAGAAATCTCTTTATTTCCTTGTCTCCGATAATCTACAAAAGCCATCCAGTGACAAAGTGAGCAGTTCTTACCAAACAAACTACACATCTTTATCTCAACACCGGAGAATACTAATAAAACTCTTTCTAACCTGTTACCGGTGCATTCTCCTTCTACTACACCATAATGAACCAAAATAGCTCTTTAACAAACAAAAAATAGGTTTTTAATAACGTTTTCGAACCCTAACAACAGTTCTTCTTCAAGTATTTTTGAATCTCTGATGGAAATGCCCGTAAAACTTCAAATTCAAAAATATGTATGTTCGAATGCACGTTTTCCATTTACGTCATTGTCTGTCATATGCAGTCAATTCCAATTCGGCTATCACAAATTACTGTTCATAAGCGCTACTGATAGCGTAATCTCTTCTTTATAATTGATGCATTAATTATCCTTAAGGTTAGCTAAATATATGCTGGCAGCCTCCAGCCACTTGTGCCATGTGGTGCGGTTTTGGCTTTCTTAAATTTGGGGTCTATATTTGGATCGGTCGCATAAATTGCCAGAGCCGTCGTGTTCCTTTGTTTCTGAATATCTGCAGCGTGTTCTTTCAGTCTAACCTCTAAGGATCGTTTGGTGGAGCCCACATACAGAAGGTTTCTATCGCATCTGCGATCTATAATTGGAATGATGTAGACCCCTGACAGCTTATCCTTATCTGGTTGATCTTTTCCATTGGTTAGGATGTTAAATATCGAAGCGCATCTTCTGTAGGCAATACGTATACAGTTCTTTTTAGCTATCTCGCCATATAGCCCTCTAATATATGGATTATAATTGACTGGAATGATCTTATCCATATCTTTGTGGTAGGTCTTGAACTGAGTTTTGATATTCATGCATTAACTTGCTATTGAGCTTGCTGTATTCATGCTCAGCAGCTATTTGATGTGTAAGTCTTAGCTCTGACTGTAGGGCTTGCTCAGTAGAAGAGTGCATGTGTGCTCTCTTAATTAGGGCTTTAAATGGTGCAACTTTATATTGTGGTGGGTCACATGACCCTACTGGTATGTATATGCCCTTTGTTCCTAACTTTCGGTACACCGCAGTGTGGATTAGGGACTCTTCTACCTTGATGTCAATATCTAGGAAGTGTACATTCATCTGGTGCGCTTGTTCTATTTCTATGGTTAACCCATATGTGTTATCATTCATTGTGTCAACAAAAACCTTGATGTCTGGTATTTCTTTCCACAATATGATAATATCGTTGACATATCTCTTATATAAAATGATGATGTGCAGGTGATGTGGGAGGACCTTAGCTTTGAGTAGTCTAATCACCATCTCGCATAAGTCCCCAGAGATCGGACTACCCATAGGGACTCCTCTTCCTTGCGTGTACACGATACCTTTGAACTGGAAAAAAGAATTGTAACACAACAGATGGGCCATCTCAAGAATTTGCTGGTGTACCGTATTATCGTTGAGGATGGAGAGTAATAAATCTCTGATGGCACAAAAGGCAGGCGGGAGTAGGATTGAGAAAAAGAGACTTGAAATCCAATACTGTGAGAAACTTAGGTGGTACAGTGATCTTCCTGAAGGTATCTTGTTATGTAATAAATGATCTTTGTTTATGCTTCTCGTTTTTTGCTAAAAAGAGACAGGACAAACTTTGTTTCGAACTAACGTTCATCAAACGCTCTCGTTCTCATTTCATTTTTTCTCACGAGAGTTATGAGACACATTTATTAATAATTTAAGTAATTACAATTGTAGAAAAAATGTATAAAAAACTAGATAAAATTAAATTATGGAGTATTTAAACAATAATAAATTTGTAAAACATAAATATGGGAAAATAACAAAAATCATAATATCCGCGGAGTGGCGACATCCATCACTCCACCATCCATATCTATTATGTCCACAGGGCCTCAGCATGTACGGATAATCTTCCAAGTAGGGCGTGATAAACTGGAGAAATCACCCACAAGCTTATGTTCTACTTATTCAACAAAGGGTTGGTTCTTACCAACCCTTCGTCGAATAAGCAGTCTATAGGGAACCCCCCTTTCTCATAGTTGTTTATAACATTTGAAAAATAAGCATGTCTAAAGCTTAATATTATTTGAAAAGAATAATTTTAATCTTAAGTTTGTTTAAAAAAAATTCTTTGTTTATCATAACATTCTTATTACATCTAATTTCTTAATGTTCAATATACTTTTAAATAATTTTACAAAGTATTTACAGTACTATTGTCTATTTATTATGTTCTTATTTTTTTTTAAATTTAATTATTTACAATAGAAAAATTTTGAATATATAGGGTTATTCTCTTGCTAGGAAATCCAAACATTCCTCTAACTTTTTATTGCTTTATGGTTGCCTATGAAAATTTACATGAACTTACCTTCTTGCAAAATAAAGTCTTCCTAAAGCAGATATTGAAAATGGCCACTCCAATATCTAAACATTTTTGTATGAAAGTTATCGAGGAATGTTCGAGTTTCCTAGGAAGAAAATCACTCTGTACAAATGAACACTAGATAAAATAATAGAACAGAAGATTTAAAAAATTAGTTTTGTTTTTTTTTATCCCTTTACTACTACTCAAATTGCTTTGAGTTTTGTTTAAAGTGGCCAATCAACTAACTTTCACTGATAGCCATTTTGTTCTTGTATAGCATGAGATCAACCACTTCAGTGCCAAACATTTCCCCAAGCCACTGATATGTCCTTCATTGGCCAGCTGAGATCAAATGATATGATATGTTTATTAGCAGATAAACACATCATCAGTGTCATTTGATCTCAGTGTCACATCCCATTTTGGAATATACACATGCTTACACTGGTAAATACACACAAAAAAAAAAAAAATTTACAGGTGGAATTTTTGGTTAAAATTAAAAAAATATCCCCATTTTGTATTATCCAAGTTCAATTAACATGTAAATCCCTATATTAAAAGAAGAGGAAAATGTATGTTTTCAAGTAAAAGAATTCAAGTTACTATGTTTGAGTTAAGCAGATTCCATTATATTAAAAAATTACTTACAGGATTATATACTGGTTGGAAATTAACTGGTTTTGGTAAATATGGTCCCTGTGTACATATCTGTAAAACTGGTGGTGCTGGTGGACATATTTGGGCTCCAGGAGGAGGTCGATATGACTGAAAAAAAAGAAAGAAAAATCACACACATTAACTTATAGCATGTAAATTTATTTCACAAAATATCTAAATACTGTATTTTGATATTACACTATTAAATGTTTAAAAATATTTTTCAAATGTTTGATATTTAAACTGTACAATATTCAAACAAAACAGTTGCATTATAATGAAATTTAACTTATATATTGTTATCTGTTAGAAATACACAACTTATTTCACAACATTAAAATTTCATTCTAATAGATAAAAAAAAAATAAAATTATACCATATTTCTGCTCTTATATGTACAGTGCAGTATGCTCTTATATGGTCAAATAATTTAGGGAGTTAAGGCCTAATACGTAAAATCAAAATCTCTAAATTATAAATATTTTGAATTAATTTATTACATAAAGTTAAATAAAATTAAATTCATTTATAAAAACAAATTAAGGTTCTAAATGATTTACAAATCAAACAAAATGCAGAGGAGATGGTATTCACCATTTAACCACTCTCGATACTGCTCTGCACTGAAAACAAAACAAATCAGCATTTTTGGGCTGCAATTTGAAAAAATTGTAACCTATAAATTCCCACTGTTGTCCAGCCATTCATCTTTCCTTAATCTCGAGAACTGAATTAGAGAGATGTAATCCAAGACCAGTTATTGAAACCTTTAGGGGCAGGAGGCCCCAATTAACTATATATGAATTTCTGATGCAAACTGGAAGTCAAGTTATTTAAATTTAAAACTTTTCCTCTGAAAGCAGTTAATAGAAGACCAGCACAACTCTACTGGAAAAGTATGATGTACTGTACAGTGGCAAGACACTATACCACTAATTTGAGGTGGAGAGCATATATTTTAAATTGAATAAATTAAAAATATGATTAAAAATTGCAGCTAGGCATTGTGACAATGTCACAATATATAATTGTTTGTTTCTATCAAAGATTTTTTGAAAAAGTTGAAAATATTTGGCACCAAAAGAATAAAAAAAGAAGCCAAATATAGCACAAAGTAGCCAAACCTGGCATCACTGTATGCATGTTGTCATATGCAAACTAGCATGTCTTTGTATGGGACCACACCTATTTAAAGGATTGGGCATCCTTAAAATTTAATCACTATTTTCTGAGTACAGTAAAATGGTCTGCTAAAACCAGATGTTTGAGTTGCTCTACAATTGGAGGATGAACCAGTCTTTGCTTACTAGGAGAAGAAAATCTATTCTACTTAAAATGGAATATTCATTACAGTACAGTGGTACTGTAATGAATGAACTTTTATTATTCATGTTGAAAAGTAAAAAACAACCATTATTGGAAACAGTTATTTTGGGGGTTGTGAAGGTAGTTTACAGTTTGGTTTAACAAATTATGGTAAAAATTTTTGTTTGCTTTAACACATGAAAATTAACATTGTGATAATGGTATTTTGCCAGGGCAATGGCAAAATTTGCTTTAACAAGAATTTGCTTTATTGGTGTTTGTTTGAAGGACTAATATATTTTTATTTATATTATTTTAGAATTAAATTAAAAATTAAGATAAAATAAAAATTAAAAAAATTTTTATTTATCTTTCAGTTTGGAAATATAAAGATTAATACAGTAGAGCCTCGAAAACTTGGCCTAATGTGGACAGAAGGGTGGCCGAGTTTGTGAAAATGCCGGGTTATCGGGAATGGGGTTAAAAAAAATAATTATAAGTGTTTCCTCAGAAAATACTGTACTGTACTTGTATGTATTGTTTACTTGAGAATACAACAGAGAATAAACTGCCCAAATACCCTTAAACAAAAGAAAAGTATGTACTTTATGAAGGCATAGAGCCTTTACTACATGAAAATGAAAATTAATTTAATGAATACACTGTGTACAGTAATTTACCTGATAAGACAGACCTCAGAAAAATACTTTATGAGGCATAAAGCTGTCTATAATAAAAATTAATTAACTAGGGATTTTTTCGCCCTGCCAGGGTGTGGCTGAGTTATTCGGAGTGCCAGGTTATTGAGTGCCGAGTTTGAGGCTCTACTGTAATTATAATAACAGGAACATATTTCTAAAATCATAAATTTTAATATTTAATCTAATAATGTTTGAATTTTATAAAAATATTAATGTTACAAACATTTTTTAAACATAATCACAATTAAATAGAAATTTATACATACTTCAAAAGTATATTCAATTCTGCTTATTTTTACACTTCCCTCTATGTTTAACTTATCAATTGTTTGATAAGGCAATCTGTGCTTAAATTCTGTATAATGTCGACCATTTACTGCTATCTGTAAAAAAAAGAATCAAGGACAAAGTTTATTCAAAGTTTTCATTTTAAAGAATTTTTTCATTAATTACCTTAAAATGATTCTGTTCTACCAAAAAAAGAATGACAAAATCTTTTCCTACAGTAAATGGTAAAGAATAAGGTTCTATTTCTTCATTTTGCCATCTACCATTTTCATAACTATTTCGAACTACTACTCGCTGCTCAAATCGAGGATTAAAATGTAATGCTATATCACAATCATGTCTAGTATTTCCTCTTGAAAAATCTATATGAAATCTATAAAAAAATAAAAAATAAAATAAAATTTCAAAAAATTACATTTTTACTAACTTTCTAAAATTTCACTTACAAATTAATATGTATTAATTTTTAATTTGATTATTCATATTAAAAAATGCATTTGAAATTATTCTGATCAGTTCTACTTTAGTTAATTTAGAATATGTACACTTATGAACTATTCAAAAATTTGGTTTAAAATTATGTTATTTCTCTTTAAAGCACAAAAAATACATTCTTGAAAGATAACGAACTATTTAAATTTGATTTCAACAAAAACAGATGTGGGAGAAAGAACTGATGATTGAAGATAATACATGTTAGTTATTTTGTCTACCAATGGGTGACACTGAAATTTGAGTACATTTTTCGTATATTTTAAATATTTATCAGAAAATTTTGAGTATCATTGGAGCCAATTCATAACTCCTTATAATAACTTTATGCTTAAACTCTATGGATTAGCAACATATATGAAATAACTGGTTGATTGTAATTTTTAAATTTAAATATCAATAATTATTTTTTTCCTGTTATTCTTTGACATTTATGCCCATTTATAAATGAATTTCTAAAAAAAACAAAAAACTAAAAACCTTTAAAAACATTTTTTTTAAAGATTTAAAATATACAATGGGGAAGAAACAAAGTGAATTTCTAATTATTAAAATAAATATTTAAAATAAAAACTAAAAAATATGCTGTAAGACATAATTCATTGCAGAACCTCATAAGTCATGAACAAAGTTGTGAATCTAAGCTCTTGTTAAATTATTATTTACAAAATAAACATTGCAAATAAACTAGCTATTGTAAACATGTTTAATGTAATAGTACTTTTTTAATCTAAGATACAATGTAATCCTTCTGTGAGATAAGCCAGGGCTATAGGGGGTGTCCTATTAACCACTTAATCGGCACAGATTGTTAAAACCCAACCTCAAAGTCGTCAGATGGCTAAACTTGAAAGGAGGGCAAGTTAATGAGTGGGGAGTGCATTGGGTAAGCTGATATGTATCCGTTTTCCCGAATAAGACAGGTTGACAAGTTAACATAACAAATCAAACATTTATTATATAACTTACTAGTAAATACAAGAGGTTACATTAGGTTGGATACATCTATGGCTAAATGCGGATAAGTGCACTTAAGGGGCGATTATACAGTCTAACCTTTCTCCAAAGGTTGAATCTAACCGTTAGGCCTATGTTCTAAGAGAGAGAGAGTTTTCTGTTCCAAAATAATTACCTCTAGGTGATAATGGTGAGCTACATGCAACAATGAGTTCTATGTGGAAATTCCTGGTGTCTTCTTTGTTGAAATCGGTGAAGTTTAAAAAGGCACATCTACCAAATATAACCTTCCAAGTGATCGTCCTGAGTTTCCAGTGTTTCGCTCTTTTATATAATTGTCTTGGGAAAGGCATCACGTGATCGTCCCTTGTTGATGATGAATTACAGTCATTGACAACTAAGTGTCAACTTTCCCATCGATGTGTTGATATAACCGGTGACCTCCGGTCTAATTCTCTGCTTTTTTTCTATCAGTGATTGTTTACCTTTCATAAAAACCGATTTACATTGATTTTAAAAATTCCCCTTAAAAATCCGTGGGATCACACTTCTATATATAACATTTATTGTAAAAAATTTCCCTATAACAAAATCCTCCAAATGCAATATGCATGATGCTTTTAAATGTAGGACTTTCATTACTTCAGAAGACAGGCAGGAAGCATCTTTCACAAGTTTGCTGGACAGAAGACTATAATCTTTGATTACAGTCTCCTGTCCAGCAAAAAAGCAGGAAACACAAATTTTTCAATTAGAAACTAACTGCAGGATTTGTGTTTCCTTCAGTACTTTCCACGTTTTTCTAGCACCAAAACTAATGAAAACATACTGAACTGGCAAATGTAAACTGCTATCCTTAATGTTAATTTAATGTTCAGCAATTCAGTTCTTGCCACTGCTCTATCAATGATTTCCTTTTTTAAGAATTGCTTCTGATGACTAAGTTAAAGATATTCTTGAGCAAAAATGGAAATAACTATTTGCTTAACTGGTACATTAGAAAAAAAAAAACAGCTCTAGTTCTCTGTTATTAGCAATTCATCCTTAAAGATTACCTTACTAAAGTTTTTTGATGAGGGTGGCTTATTGCTTCCAATATTTTTGAAGAAAACAAGGAATCATTTCTGCAGCTCTGTCCAGTGGTAACTCTATATAAATGAGTTTTTTTTTTATCATAATGAGAATTACACAGTATGATTAATCATTGTCCACAAAAACCCTTTATCAGTGTTGTGTTTGTTACAAATATCCACTAACATTTTCAACCTCCACCGAGGTCTTCTTCAGGTGTTGACTAAGCGTTGTCTTCCTTGACCATTAGAACGATGTCATCCGAGATGTAAATATTGTGCATATCATGTTTCACACCTCCGCTTGTCCCCGTTTGAATTCCTTGAATAGGTATCTCCACACCTGCGCGATCGTCTCTCCGTTTTTAAAATTGATACAGGTGCCCCCAACGTTGGCTTTCTAGATCTCCCAGGCCTCCAGATGATGGATGCGATCAATTTGAAATGCCTGTCTGATTAATTTGGTGTTCAGGAAGTCCGCCTGAATTTCAGGGTTGCTAAAGTACGCTGTCAAGGTGGTGGTGTGCCTGTTATTTTTAATGTCTGATTGATGCTCATGTAACCATTTTTGTGTTGAGTGCACGGTAGAACCAATATCAGACATTAAAAATCAGACAATTAAAAATAACAGGCACACCACCGCCTTGACGGCCTACGTTAGCGACCCTGAAATTCAGGCGAACTTCCTGAACACCAAATTAATCAGACAGGCACTTCAAATTGATCGCATCCGTCATCTGGAGGCCTGGGAGATCTAAAGCCAACGTTGGGGGCACCTGTATCAACTTTAAAGACGGAGAGACGATCGTGCAGGCGTGGAGATACCTATTCGAGGAATCGAATGGGGACAAGCGTAGGTGTGAAACATGATAAACACAATATTTACATCTCTGACGACATCGTTCTAACGGTCAAGGAAGACAACGCTTAGTCAACACCTGAAGAAGACCTCGGTGGAGGTCGAAAACGTTAGTGGATATTTGTAATGAACACAACACTGATAAAGGGTTTTTGTGGACAGTTATTACTCAACATAGTGTTACAGTTATAAGATGTTTGTGTATGATTAATTTTTACAATGTGCTCTACTTGATAAGAATGACCAAACAAGGATACTGTGTAATCAGTGTTGCTAACTCAAGCTGAAAACCTCTAAAGTATTCTCAAAAACTGCATTTTGGACAAGAGAACCATTAGCCTAACATAGAAATGCACATGCAATTTTCTGTTGCACAACAGAAAAATTACATGTGCATTCCTAGGCTAAAAATAGGTCTGATTGCATCATTTTAATCATTGCAATTTAGCAGCTTAAGCATGCATTTGTATCAAAAACTGTGCATTTCATTTTTTGTGACTAAACAATCACACAACAAAAATTTGCATATGTATTCCCAAGCTTAAATTTCACACTTAAAGAAATCACTTATAAATCCCATATTCTGTTATAATTGGAAAAAAAAAACTTAATTAGAAAATGTAAATAGTCAACACTGATTAACACTTTGTGATATTAAAACAGAATATTTAAAATCAACCATGCACACAAATACTTTGACATTAACTGATTTATGTTAATAGGCAGAGTAACATCAACCAGAGAAAAGACCATTTACTTATGGCGATTGGCTGGGAATAAAGATTTCTATAAATCACACAAACTCTTCATATAATCTCGAATATTTTAAGCTTAATCCATCAATGTAAATACAGGAAATAGATTGAAACATTTAAAATTTTATTTATGATTCAGTTTAGAACAGTGGTGCTCAAAGTGTGCACTACTACCCCATGGGAGCTGAGTAAATTTAGGGGGCATGAAAAGAAGCAGAGAGGAACTGGAGGAAGAGTCCTGACCAAATAGTGACCATAGGCAGGGGTTGGGATCACTGACAACCTTTCCCGTATTGAAATACTGGGTTGTTTGGAAAGTAAGTTCATTTTTTCCGTGGAAAGAAACACAATATTTTTATAAATAAATAAATATTTTAGAATTTTATATCAACCATTTTGGTCAAATACCTGTTGTCATTGTTTCTGGTAGTAGCATGATTTCACATTCATAAAAGTTTTGATCGTTGCTTACAAAAAACTGATTCAAGTGATTTTTGACATTGTCATTTCAAGTAAATGTATTACAGTTAAAAAAATTTGTATAGACCAGAACAAGTAGTAATCTGAATGTGCTCAATCTGGTGAATATGGTTGGTGTGATAGTACGTCCCATTTAAGTTATAACAGTTTCTGACGAGTTAAACTTGTGTAAAATTTGACATTATTATGGTAAAACACTACTCCTGTTTTGTTGATCAATTCTGGCCGCCTTTTCTGTTTGATGATATTACTCAATTTGTTTACTCGATGGCAGTACACTTTCGAATTAATTGTTAAATTGTCTGGTAAAAGCTCCAAAATAAAAAATTTCCTTAAAATCCCACCAAAGAGAGTATCTCTCTTTAAGAACATGTGAAACCCATATATCAAGCTTTGAAATGAAACCAATTTGTTTCAAGTAATCATAAACAGTTCAATATGACAAATTTAATCTTTTTGTGATTTTACGTGTTGTTATTCAGCAGTTTGCTTCAATCAGTACCTTTATTTTGTTTTCATTGGCTTCAACTGGCCATCCAGAACGTGGTGCATCTTCAATATTGAAATTGCCAGAACAAAATTTTGTAAACCAGTTTTGGCACTGTCTTTCTCTCAACACATCATCTCCATATATGTACCACAATTTTTTTTTTTGTTTGAACAGCATTTTGATTTTTTGGTAATAAAAAGGCAAAATATGCTGAAAATGCTGCTTTTGATCTTCCATATTTAAATGGGACACAAAAAATAAACAATTGCACAAAATCAAACAAAATTTTTTACAAATACGCCTTAAAACGCTAGCTGTCAAAAGATATAATGATATTACGGTTTAGAATAAAAATGGTGGGAAAAATTATACTAATCCATCTAGTGGTAAAAAAATGAGCTTACTTTCTGAACAACCTAATAGGTAAGAAGAAACATTGCATTTAATGGTTTCCAGATGTGGAGAATAATATACAGTAAGATCACAAAGTGTGAGGTTCATAGAAGTTTTTCTAAGAATATTTCCAAGGCTTTCTCACACAAAGGAAAACTGGTTAGGTTGGCATTATAAGTTTATGGAACCATTATGTGCAGTGGTTCAAAAAAGTTTGGGAATCACTGATTTAGAAAATTCTAATCTACTTTGCATATCTCACTTAAAAATATTTTTTCATTCATTCTGAAAATAATTTATAAATAAATACCTGTTTGCTCCATGATTAACAGAACCTGAAATCATTATCATCTTTCCTGGTTGAAGTCCATTTGGAATTCTTCCCCAATAAGGCAAAGGCTATAATAAATGTAATGCATGCATTCATTATATAACACATTAATAAATAGTGAGTTTTATTCTTACAAAGTGTATTAGAGAGATAATAAAATTATATATTCAATAAAACTTTTATACTGTCAATAATTCATGGATATTTCATAATTTTTAACTATAATCAATAATCACCAAAAAAATAGACTAAAAATCTCAAAAAAAGAAAATTTTTATTAAAATCAGATTTAAAACACTAGAAAATTATAAAATATTGCATTATTTAAAAATTACAAATAAATAGCCTAAGTTTTTATTACTAGAGAAAATTTACATAAAGCAAGAATTATATTAAATTATCATATAGATTAGTGTACAGGTATACCTCGACTTACGTCGTTTCGAGTTACGTTGTTCCTGATTATACGTCGTTTGTCAAAAAAGTATATGGAAAAATAAAAATCAAGTTTAAGTCATTTTATTCGACTTTACGTCTGTTCGTCACAAATATTGAAGTCGTAATATCACTAGAAAAGCGTTTAAAGCACATAAAATCACATTAAAATATATACATTTACAAGTATGTACTGTATTTACAGTACATGCATTCGTAAATTTAGATTACTTTTTTTGTACTATATTAAAAACTAAAATTTAATAAAATTGTTTGTAAGCTTAATAAATAAAATACAGAACCAGGAATGGTAATTTATGGTTTAGCCTAGTGACAAGTAGATTCGGAGACAAGTAAATTCGACTTACGTCGCTTTCCTGGAACCAATTACTGACGAAAGGCGAGGTATACCTGTATTTCAATTTTTATATTATAAAATATGTTACTCTATGTTTCTTCTTATGTTTCTCAAAAAGATATAGTAGTAATGGGGAAGATAAGAAGTTTGAACTGGAATCTAATTTCCATTAAAGGAAAGCTGAAGCAGCATAAGACATTTTAAAACAGGACAGTAAACTGTCAAAATAGATCCATAAACTGTGGTAGTGTATTTTGATTTACAGTAAGCTTCACACACAATCAATCAATCTTTATTAAAACCCTTCCACCCTTTTTTCCTTTTTTATGAAGTGGTACATTGTAATAGTTGTTATAATAAAAGTTCTTTCTCAATATCTTTTTCATGTTTACTTCATGATTATGAGCTTATCACTCATCCAACAATATATTATTTCATGATTTTACCAAAATTGATAGTGGTACTTGGAAATCGCCATTGTTGTTGTTCAAGAATGCATAAATAGCTTAATTAATTAATTCATGACTTTTTTAAATGTGACCATAAATTGCTGGTGTTGTTTGCTGTTTTAATTTCATGATTGCATTTCTTGCACCACACTTTCTCACCATTAATTTTGGTAAAATGCAGCTAAATGTTAGTATATCTTGCATGGCAAGCACATGCATGTTTCTCTGGTACCATTTTGAATATACGGGTATCCTTTGCTTAAGCACAGTTTTGCTTAAAGTGGGATTTGATTAATGCATGAAATTAATTGTGGCAGTACCTTTATATATGTGGCTGAAGTTTTAATTTTCACGGCTTTATCTATGTTAATTAAGTAATGACAGCTGGTAATGTATTTTGATTATCACAATTTTGATCTATATGGTAGGATCGAGGGATTAATTAATCATGTTAATCAAGGGATTCCTGTATCAAATTCAAGGCAATTCAATATTAGTTAAATAAACTGGTTTTAAAAATATTGATATTTTATTATTCAATATGGGCAAAAATTCAATATTTAGTCAATTGTTTGGCCATCACTACTTTATGCCTGATACATCAAAGGCTGATTTTATGGTGTAGTAAACTGGATATCAATTAATTTTTGGAAACTACAACTAGCAATTCAAATGGGCTCACTCTCAGGATAAAGCAGGAAAACCAGTTATACTTAAGAATCAAACTTCAGGAAGTGCATACCATCAAAGTGCATAGAAAACCAAGTCTTTTTTTATTCTGGCAATATCAGTGAAACCTTTGGGACAACATTATTTGCCTCTGCATCCCCTATATACCATATCTACTCTCATTGCTCCAATGTCAACAACACCTATCAGGAAATAGACTACATCAAGGAAACTGAAGTTAGTCACAGATAAGGTACTTGGCAAGATTTATTGAGCAACTGGCTAACAAGTATAAAGCTGGAATTCCAAGGATGTACTCCATTTACAAGACAAAATATAGTAGCAAACTTCAATTAACAATTAGTGGCATTCATTGCAAAATTATCAGGTCTATTGGCAGCAAACTGTTTCTGAAAAACTCCATGCTATAAAAGATTTTAAGAAATGATAAGGACCAACATGATTGCTCTAGGATCCCAGAAGAATAGGTTCTAGTATTGTAAAAGCAATAAAATTATTTTTAGTAAAAAGCTAAATAAATCCATTTTTGATCCCATTATTTAAAAGCAATTCTTAAACAATAAAATTACTTGGACCAAACATTCAGTGAACAATACAGGAAATACTCATATCTTTTTAACCTCTCCTATCTGGTCTATGTTTTTTTATACATTTCATCGGAATTATTTTGCACCCTACAGCACATGTTGTTATACTATTCTAATGTGTATAAGGATGGAGCTAAAATTTCCTTTTCCCCCCCTTTTTCCACCTATGTCTTCTCATGAGTTGTGTTATGCTAACTATCACTATAATCTCAGGACTGAAGAAGGGCATTAAACCCAAAATGCATAGCCTTTCCTATCAATAAACCGACCTTTTTTCCACTAAAAGCGTTCCTGTGTGATTTGTTCTCAACAGCAACCTTAGGCAAAGAAAACACATATTTGTAAAACTTTTGAAATCTATTGCCTGTAAGCAAATAAAAATCTCACTTATTTGCATTTTCTTATAGAAATGGAACCATGATTAATAACATTAGACATACAGATGACAGTCCTATATATCAAAGAGTGTCTGTAAAAGCAAATTATTGGACATTTACATTTTGAATGTTAACTGCTAAAAAACTGTCCTGAAAATGTCAAAGAAAGATCATTAACATCTTAAATCTGGAAAAGAACTGATTGATGAAATCAACAAATATTTAGACATTACAAGTAGGATCAGTAATTGGATAGCAAATGTGATATTGAAATCAGAAGTAGAAACTGAAAAGCAAAAAGTTTCTTTAAAATATCAAATAGGATACATCTACAATAGACATCTAAATCAAATTAAATCCAATAAAAACAGCAATCCAAAATGTGATAATAAAGGGATGCAATTCCTTGATACTTGACCTGAAGAATACAAGAAGAATGGAAGCATTTGAGATGTAATCATTAAGATGGAAAGGCTCAAATTAAGGAGGTGCTAGAGAGAATAGGAATAGAAAGTTATTGGACAACATAATAAAAAGGAAAAAACTGTCTTTATAGGATATCTCATGAGAATAAACTAGGAAATCTTAAAGGCAATTTATTCAGAAAACAATTAAGGGGAATGGAAGAGAAGATCTACAATAACTGGTCTGGACAGGGTAGAATCAGAGAAATAAGGAACCACAACTATTGGAAGAACATCATTCATCAATTGCAATCCTTTGTCAGAAAGAGATATTATTGATATACCTAACAAATCTAATTAAAAATTTTTTATTATATTTCTTTAATGTATGTTACTTGGAAAATATTAAACATTTGAATTATAAAAACAGAAGAATAGCATTTTAACAATATTTGAAAATTCATAAAAATTATCATCACTACACTAATTTTTAAAATTCTAACTTACTAAATTTGGATGTTAAAAATTGTCTGTGTATTTATTTGTTTAAAGAATGTAATACAGAAACTAACATTACCTTTCTACTTGAACAAAACAAAAACTTAGCAAAGTGACTGCTTTTTTGACTTTTCTGTCCATCTTGTCTCTCTAACACTCAAAAACAATCTTTTCAAACCCCTATTCAAATAAATCTTATTTGAGAGATGTCTGCCAGAGTTTAAATTTAAATGCACATCTTTTTATTTTAAAACAATAATAAATTCAAACTATTTCTATATTCTTCTGTTCTCTCTCCCATTCTTTTTTTTTTTTTACTATCCATTTCATGCATTTGACAAATTATCTACATCTTTGATAATTATAACTTCCTTAGTTAAATTTTCTTCTGTCAGAGTTTCCAAAGATGGATAGAAAAGTTCGAAAGCATCTAGCAACTTGGTGATTTTGTTTTTATGAACTTCAGTTCAAGCAGAAAAGTAATTTAAGATTGATCATATTACAGAGTTAGATTATATGAACAATATAGAAAATTAGGACCGAAAATTACACACATCTAATAAATTACAATATTTGAATATTGTTTACTTAATTAAAATTATATAAATAAAATATTCAGTGAAACAATTTTACATTAAATATTTTAAATCAAATTTTTTGTGATATAGTACAATCAATGATGCAAGAAAACGCATTTAATTTCAGAAAACATTATGTAAAAAAAAATTTCATAAACAGACATTCTTTTAGTTTCAATGCTTATTATTTCATTTTCATAGAAATGTTACTGATACATTATTTAAACAAATATATATATATTGGTTTGCTTATTGGCATTTCTTTTTATAAATATTTTAAAAAGAAAAATCTGTTTCTAAAAAATTTTCTATACTTTGAACTGAATTTTCTCTTGAAGTAAAACTGAATTTATCTATCTCATTAAACTGATAAGTAATCTATTTGTAGAAGTATTGAAAAATACATTTTATTGATTTATCGACAATAAAAATGAATTTATCATCATCTTTACAAAATAGATATCCACCCATTAATTTATACCAATTCATTACCTGCAAAATATTCCGCAATAGTTAAANGTGCACCTGTCAGGAACGTTCTTTGTTTGGAAAAAAAAAGCTCAGTTTAGATAACTGAAGATTTGAATGATTGGCATTTGCATAAGTGGAGTTCTACTGTAGTATGACCCTAATAATAGAAATGTATTTTTCTTATGCATTGATGTTATATGTTAACTTTATATATTTATCTTGAAAATCAGCACAAGAATGCCTGAAAGCATTACATTGAATAAATATTTTATTTCTTAAAAATAAGTTTTTCAAAGTATTTTAATTTTTTTCTGATTCTTACTCTCCTCAAAGTTCCATGTAAAAATTTGAGCATAGTAGAGAGCATCATTGTTAAAAAGATTCTTTGAGCATGTTAAATATTTCATCAAAGAGTTTTTGAAATAAATAAAATAATTTACCACATCTTCAACATAATGAGCCATGGACGGATATTTTATTTTAAAGTCTAAACATTTATCTTTCATTTTTAACAAGATTCAAGTTGGACGCGCTTTACACAATAAACAGTGTTAAACTTAATTGTCAAGTCGAAAAGAAAATAAATATATTTTAAAATATCGGAAATTCTATCTAAAATATTATTTATCGCGCAGTTATCACGAGGTATAACGTAAATAACACGTGACACCGAAACAGTTTTATTAATTATTACTTACTGGATTTTCTACTGCCTCCATGCTGAATTGATACCCCCCGTCTAATACGGCACGACACTACTTATAACAATTGATAAAAAATTTCTCCTGTTAATACACGGAGGTGGTGGCGTATAACGGCAACAAGAACAACGAAATGACACTTATATACGAACAGATACGACCACGTGATTGTGATTAATTCATATATAAATATTTGTAACAGACAGTACTGTTACCAGTTTTTAATTTCATTTATGCAATAACATTAGAACGCTTTTTCTTGCGTATATTTACGTATGTCTACACTCGAACGATGCAGATATTTTTCGAGAAATTCAAATACAGTAGACCCCCTATAACACTGTTGATTATTCCGTTTTATATGAATTCCATGTTGTACGAGTCACTTAGATTTTACAAATATTTGAGCCGTTCACAGCCCGGCACACGTAGTATTTTAAAAATTAAAAGATACTGTATAGGCCTGTTTATATTTTTAATAGAAACGACAGACTTTTATGTGTTGTGAAGAACTGACATGTGACGTAACACGTCAATTATATTTTAATTTTGAATTGTATTTTGTTTTATATTTTGTATTGTGTTATCTTTTTAACTACACTAAACAGAAATTAAATTTTTTACGTTTAAACTTCCTAAAATAAGTTTAGAAGTAAAAATATTGCGCTTAAGAAAATATATCACAAAGTTTTCTGATGCTGGAAGTCTGACGAAATTTTGCCAGACTAGTAAGAAATTACTCTAACGAAATAACAGTAGCAAGTAGTACGACATTTCTCAATCCGAGTGATAAACCTAGGTATATATTTTTAGAAAATAAGTAAAGTTGGTTATAATCTCTCACTGTTCGACGAGTTATTTAATGTTAATAGTTATCGAACAAATATATATATATCCACAGAAAATCTCTGTTAATTCGAACTCGGATAGTACGAAATCACGATAATTTGTAACTGTACTTTTGTCCCGGCCGAGATTATAGAGATTTACATGCTAATTATCCCTAAAATATGGCTGGATTTCGGGATTGTAAGATTGACATATATACAGTAGAGCGTCGATTATCCGAAAGTCAATCATCCGAAAGAACTCCAGTTGGCAAATTTAAATTTTCGACAGTGCTGTAGCGCTGCAATCTTTGGCTATGTCTTGGGGCTACTCAAACATTTTACGTTTTTGATACTAAATTAACTTCTGAAGTATAATTTTTTATTGTTTTTATATTTTTCAATATATTTATTTTGTTCGTACAAAATAAAAAAAATAATTTTTAACGTTACAATAGTCTTTGTTGGGCTTAACATCGACGAAAATTCAACGCGAAGCGACACGCAACGGAGAAAAATGTCAAGATGGGATAAATTAATATATTTTTTCGCACATAATCGGTTATCCGAAACATCGATCTTCCGAACAACTCCAGTCCCCAATCGATTCGGATAATCGATGCTCCGCTGTATATTTTATTTAACTCTTTCCGCTCTGTGAGCACTAAGAGGGCCTTTATTAGCAAGCCCATTATGGGTTCGTCCAGGTTCACAATGGGGCGGCCGGGTGGTGAGGAACGGAGGCCGACATATCCGGTCGGGTCATCCCCGAAAAATTCCTGGGGATTTTTAGGCCCGTCCGGATTCGATCCCTGCTCCTCCAAGAGCGATAGGACCACTCGGATATCCGACCGTCAAGTTGAGATAATTGTAGGGCTCTAGTCTATTACATTTCGACGAGTTCCTATATTTTTATGAGGCTTCGGAAGTGGGTCGAAATTCACGCACAGAAAATCTTTTTAAATTCGTATGAAAAAAATTAATAATAATTATTTTATATTGTAAAAAAGAAACCATCCAACGCAAAATGAATATTTTATTGTAAGTAATAGATATGTATTATATCAATGGTGCGGTTTTCTTTATATTCTTTTAAAATGCCAATTTTTCAAAGAGAATATTTCCTCAAAAAATTGATGAAACTTCATGGGTTAATTCTACAGAAATAACCGCCGTTTTTTTGCCTGGGCTGCATTTAATCAGAGACAAAAGCTTAACTTCCTATTCTTTATTTACTTATTTACTATGCATTTCGGGTGCAATGTTTTTTTGTAACTTGCATCCCTCTTCAGGTTTTACATTTCTATAAATTCGATTATTACATTTGTTATTACGGTAAATTACAACAATTTTGGATATACTGTATTTACACAATAGTTAACTAACCTGTTTTATGTTTAGACATACATCTGCCCAGTGTTGATGTTGTGTCCCCTAAGGCATTTTTAGACCGTTTTCCCCTCTTTTTGTTTTATTTCCCTTTAGCTCCTCCCATTTCCTCCCACACGTTGTCAACCTCCATTCCATCATTTAGGTTTATGGTTTTGTTTTTATTAACAATTGCGAAGTGCTCTTTGAATTTTCGTAGATAACTGTCTTTTTCTCTATGGATTATTTTTACACTTTTTTCGTTGGTTGTGCATCCAAATTCCATACAGTGACTTGTCCATGGTGACTGGTTATAATTAAGTCTAATTGCTGCTTTATGTTCTTTTATTCTGGTACCGAGTTGCCTTCCTGTTTCGCCAATGTATATTGCTGGTTTTTTACATGTACCTGTACATTTTATTTCATATACTACTCCTGTTTGGTTTAGTATTTCGTTATTTTTAAACTTATTGGTGTTGGTGTTGTTTTTAATTTTATTTTTTAATTTGGTTACTAGTGTAATACTATATGCTTACTGAAAACTTTTCTGTATTTTTCAAACATTCCCTTAATATAGGGGAACGACGTATATATAGTGTTCTCATTCTTATTTTTAAGGTTGAATCTGCTTTTTATAAATGCATTTATCCACTTTTTTAGTAGTCTTCTTAGATAGTTGTTCAAGATGAAGGTACAGTCGACCCCCCTATAACACTGTTGATAATTCCGTTTTATATGAATTCAATATTGTACGAGCCACTTAGATTTTACCAATACGTGTGCCAGGATGTGAACGGCTCACGTATTTGTAAAATCCAGGGGCGTGCCGTGACATTTGATGATAGGGAAGCTGTGTTTCTATAAGAAGCCGACATCCAGGGGCAATCAGTTAATTCTTTCTTTAAATGTATTTTTAATAGATTATTTATCTGACGTACTTAATAAACAAGTTCATTATAATTACCTCTGTTATTAGATCCAATATATTCCATATGCCCTCTAAATGCCAATTCTTGCTTTGATAAAAACATATAACATCTATTTATTTA